CTGTGCCTCAGTTTCCCCACCTAAATTGGGAATGATTGACAGTTCTAATCTTCTGGGTTGCTAGGAGACAGAAATGGGAAGGAAATGCCTGCGCAGAGGCTGCTGTCTTGTGGCTGTTCATTTTGGAGGCTGCTGGGGAAACTGAGGCTCAGGGAGACAAAATCATGTGCCTGAGGTTGGACAGCGTGGGTAGGGACCAGGTGGGAGCCCAGATCCATGGCCACTGTGCTAAGCTGACCCCCGCTGCTCCTGTACTCCCCCTCCCACCCCCACCCCCGCTGGTGCCAGGGCGCCAGGGCTGAGCCGAGAGAGGCTGGCCTGGGGCCCGGGCGCCTGTTGCTGGGGTCTTGAATGAAGCAACCTTGCCTGGGAACCTGCTGGGCTCAAAGAGCTATTTATAGGCCTGTTCTGGGATTGGCCAAGTGCCCCCCACCCCCATCTCTGAGTGCCTTCTCTGCCCCCTGCCCCTCCCCAGTGGGGCTCTGGGCCAGGGGCGGCTGCCAATGAGACGAGGTGGGGGAGGGGACTGGGTGGGCTAAAGCAGAGTCTGGGAAGGAGGCTGGACCCTCCCGGAGAGCTGGTCTCAGGAGTGACCAGTATCCCGCAAAGTGCTTCCGAACATCCCCAAGGTGACACAGGGACAAGTCACAGACAATGTCACCAACCTCCACTGACACACAGTCACACCGACAGCAAATCAGTTCACATACAATTTCACTTGGCAACAGCCACACACAACCACCCTCGTACACACACAGGTCACGGATGTGAGCCCGGGGACCGAGAGTCCCTTTGCACCTGGACCACACTGCTGACATCGGGCCATGTTTACAGCCACGGGCCCACCCACAGGCGGCTGGCCCATGACCGTGTTCACTTTGCACCAACGTCACCAACACCATGATCCAGAGTCCTCCCAGGTGTTGTCTCACACGCAGACCCAGGCTCCTTCACATCCAGCCACCCCTTCTCCCACTGTCATTATGTCCCTTTCGCAGGGGGAACCAAGGTTTGGAACCATCCGAGGGCCTTTCCTGCCCTGCTCCAGGATGACAGGCTCATGGAGAGTGGGACCTGTTTCCTAGTGGGTCCTCAGTGCCTCCTCTGAAGCAGTGACACAGGTAGAGCCCCGCCGACCCAAATTTGCTGTGTGACTTCAGCAAATCCCGGACCCTCTCGGAGCTTCAATTCCTCCCCTGCAAAATGCAGAACTCACTCCACTAGAGGGAACTCCAGAGTCAGACTGGGGATTGTCTCCCGGGATGATCTTGGCCAAACAACTTTGCTTTTTGGTGACTCAGTTTCCCTTAGAGAGCCAGAGGAGCAGGACCGGGCTCCCCTAGCACTCTCCCGGCCTCATCCCCTGGGGTGGGAGGAGTGGGGAGGGAGTTCTTAGTCGGCCTCACTAAGGCGAATGAATGGACCACTTTTGGCTGTCTTGCTGGAAACTCAGAGCTGCTAATTCCCTAGAGGAACAGGAGGCTCTTTCATGCTTAGGCGCCAGTGGGGTGAGGAGGCGGGAAGAGAGTAAGGAGCTGGCCTCATCCCAGTGGCCAAGGTGGCTCTACGCCAAGCCCAGGAGTGATATGGAGGGCCCTGGGGCCATGCATATCCTCACAGGGGAATCTTGGTCAAGTTGCTGTGTCCCCTGCTATAAAATGAGAGTGACACAGATCAACCAATTGCGGTTTAATGAGCCAATGGGTGGAGACGAAAAACACAGTGGGGTCTCACCAAGTGTCATCCACTGTTGTCATATGTCAACCCAAGGATTCTCCTGTATCCTCCAATAGGCCTATGAACAGAATTTTCCCCCTTCACAGCTGAGGGAACTGAGGCTCAGAGAGGTAGAGATGTTTGTCTAAGGTCACACAGCTAGTGAATAGTCCAGCCAAGATTTTAAGTAGATCTGGGCTCTCCAGGGTCCAAGATCTTCCTAATTTCTGATGAGAGTGAGATGTTTCCTGCCATCTCCAACCTCAGCCCTGAGAACAGCAAAGCTGGGTCTGGCACCAGACCATAACAGAAGGCAGGAAGTCCTGGCGGTCAGGAACTGATGGGACAACCCTTCCGCTGGTGACCCAGTTTCCCTGCCAGCCCCGGCTCCTAAGAAGTGCTCAGGAGACGCCAGGCCAGTAGGATGCCAGGGGACCATCCCCCACTCCCTTGAAGAAAGGGGCTGGATCCCAGACCATTCAGCTAAAGCTAGGGACAAGAGTCCCCTGCCAGTGGCTGCCCTGTCTTGGAAACCTCCATTTGTGAAGACTGGATAGAGTCATGCCCTTTCCCAAACACTGCTCCAGGCCCAGCAGGATATGGCTCCACATTTTTATTCAAATCCTTGGTCTTTAATCCAACTAGGCCTTTCCTTGTGCTTTTCCCCCTCCCTGAAACACTGTCTCCATCCCAGATCCCCCCTCCCGGGAAGCTTCCTTCAGGTGGACTCCCTGTTCCCCATCTCTGTCCCTTCCTGTGTCTCAGCCCTGACCGCATAGGTGTTTTGCCCAGGTGGGGGCTCTTTAGGGATCAGGCTAAAGCTGAGGCCTCTCATCATCTCCAGCATCACCCAGGACAGGAGTGGGCACAGGAATGGCAGTATATGGTGACAGGAGTTATCTAGTGAATCAGTGAACCAAATTTTTGGCCTAGTATCTGAGGCTTTGTGTAATCTGACCTAGCAAACTCCTATTTATCCTTCAAAACCCGCCTTACATGACCATTTCTTCAAGAAGCCTTCCTCAGAAGCATTTGCCAGAAAGACAGATTTGGAGGCCAGGTCTCTTGCATCTCAGGGCACATGGGGTTGATGGGAACGACTGATGCTCCCAACATCATAGCCTCTTCCTCAACTCTTCCATTAGCCTCTCTGACTCAGTGAGACGCAGGAGTTCCCAGCCTGCACTGGAGGTTAGCAGACTCCCCCAGTAAGAAGACATGATTATAGGAAGTTTGTGGGATTTGAAAAACCAATACTTTATAGCCGGCATTTTCACCAAGAAATGGTGCCAGGTGACACACAACTTGCATTCTTCCAAATCCAAGGGGAACCTCAACCACAGGGCGAGAGCCCTTTAAAAGGCGGTCACGAAGGGGCCAGCGTCCAGCCCCGCCCCGCCCCAGGAGCAGTGGCTGGGCGGAGCCCAAGTCACATTGCGCATGCGCTATGCCCACGCGGTTCCTGGTCCCGGTCTCTGGTTCCTAAAGCTACTGACCGGGAAAGTGAGGCTCAGGCGGGGAGGGGCGCCCCCCAAACCCCGGGGGAACCTGTTTCCTTTCCTTGGATCCGCTGTGAAAGGCCGGGTCCCTGGCCATCGGCGTCTTCCCTGAGCCTCCAATTTTTCCAGCAAGGGGGTGATCGAGGCGACATTTAGGACTTGGGCGTCAGAGAGAGTGGCTGCTCTTGGTCCCTAGTTACATGAGGACCTGCAAACTAGGGGTGTAGCCTAGGTGACGCCGCCTTGGCTGAGGTGGCGCCGGGATTGGGACCCGAGTCCAGCAGAGTCCAGCCTTGGGTTTCGCGAGGCCCTGGAGAACCAAGATGACCCACTCTTTGGTTTGTCCGGAGACAGTGAGCAGGTGAGAGCCCGAGAGCCCCGGTGGCGAGTCCAGGGGTAGTGGGCACTGGGGTGGCGGAAGGACCTGTGGCGGGGAGGGGGCGGGCTCGGGCTCCGTGGGGGGGTGGGGGGCGGTGGCGCCCAGAACTGGCCTTAACCCTTCATCGACCTGGTGCCTCCGAGGGTGAGCTCGGTGCTGAATCGCAACAGCCGGCAGTTTGGAAAGAAGTATCTTTTTGACCAAGACGAAGAGACGTGCTGGAACTCGGACCAGGTGAGGTGCGGAGGTCCAGAGTGCCTTGAGAACTTGGGGGAACCCGAGGTGGGCAGGGAAGGACTCTGTGCTGTGAGTCAGGCATAGCCACGCTCCCATCGCGGAGTGATCGTGGGCCTCAGTTTTCCCGTCTGTTTTTAGGGCCCCTGCCAGTGGGTGACACTGGAATTTCCTCAGCGCATCTGTGTCTCCCAGCTGCAGATCCAGTTCCAGGGGGGCTTTTCCAGTCGCCTGGCCCGCCTGGAAGGTACTGGAAGGTCCTGGGAGGCGGGGGTTCCAGGGGGGATATCCTGTACTCACTGTATGCACCTTTCTCTGCTGCAGGGTCACAGGGGAGTGAGGCCCTCCACCACATTGTGGACTTCTACCCCGAGGACAACAACTCCCTTCAGATATCCTGTCCTGGCCTCTGGGGTGGGAGGATCTATGCCTCTAAAAGCTTTGAGCCCACCTAGACCTGAATGGGAAACTTGCCATGATATTTTGAAAAGTGACCTCCGGGTCTCCACTGCATAATCTGGAAAATGGGTCTGCTCTGTGTGATGCTCAGAGGGGTTCACATCTTGCTAGGGTCACCTAGCACACTAATGGGGTCTGAGCTGGGTTTGGGAAAGGTAGGGAATGGAGGGTGGAAAACAAAGCCCCACCATTTCCCTTGACTGCTTGTGCTCAAACATTCTCTGTGCCGGCTGCTGAGGTGGACCGCTTGAAGGTGACATTTGAAGACACCACTGACTTTTTTGGCCGTGTAGTCATCTACCACTTGAGAGTGCTGGGGGAGAAGAAGGTCTGAGACCTCTGGGGGTGGGGGCACACCTCTCAAGGAAGCCCCTCAGGGAATCACAGCAAAGTCCTTTAATTTCTGCACAGAAGGTTTATTGGTTCCTCTTGGGAAGGGTCCCCTCCCACTGCCTGTCCAGGAGCTGCCTTTGAAGCCAGTTCTGGGTCCTCCCAGCTCTGGGCCGACCATTTGGTTCCCTGAGTGTCTGCATCCCCACCAGGCAGCCTTCACTCCGGGTCAGTGGGCCCCAGGTTGCTGTGGAACAGTTTGAGGATGTGGTTCTCGATTACCTGTTGCACTGGAGACAGGTGGGGAAAAGGCAGCCATTGGAAAGGAAGCTGCAGAGTCAACAGGCACCATCCCTACCTGCACCGTTGCCCTAGGGATGAACCAGGGCTTTACAGCACTGGGGCCTGGATGGAAGACCCCCTATACAGACAACAGGATCCGTGCCCCTCCCAGAAACCTCAGCTTCCCCTGAGTTTGTAAAAATTCCCTTCCTTTCTTCCTTCCTCCCTTCTCTTTCTTTCTTTAGTGCTGGGGCCTCACGGGACAGGCAAGTGCTCTACCACTCTTGGCCTTAGAAATTCGTTCCCTGCCCCCTTGTGGTACCAGGAATCAGACCCAGGGGCACTCTGAGCTATAGCCCCATCCCTTCTTATTTTTGAGACAGGGTCTCACTAAGTTGCCCAGGCTCGCCTTGTAATGCATTTCTTGAGCCTTTTGGAGTTATAAAAGACTTCTTACCAAACAAAATGGGTGAGTGTGGTTTTTATGAAAATATTAATATAGGGTCTGTGAGGGATGATTTCCGTCTCATAGAATAAAACTCTCCAAAGGGAGGTAGGATATTTCCTGAGCCCATCCTCCACCAACCAAGAGGATGGGTGGTCAGGATGTTCCCATGTCAAACTTGGGTTTGCTTATGGCCCCTGCTCATACCTACCTCCTGCCATGGACAGGATCGGGCTCCATGGCCCCATGCACTGTGGCCCAGCCCAGTTCCCTCTTGGTGTTCTGGCCCTGGTAAGCTTCTGTATCCTTCACTTATTTGGACACAGTGCAGTCCTTCTAAAGCCCCCCAGAAGCCCACCCTGACCACCTTGCTGTCTGGTGTGTGGCCTGTGTGCACAAGCGCACCCACATGCACAGGCAGGTGTGCATAAGCTGAAACTTGGGATCTGCTGTCTCTAGTAAATACACCTTGAGGCTTGGTCCCAATGCAGCGGTGTTGGGAGGTGGGGCCTACTAGGAGGTATTTGGGTTGTGGGGGCAGAACCTTCATGAATGGATCAATGCCTTTCTCACTATCATGGGTCTGGGTTGTTTACTGTGAGAACAGGTTGTTTTAAATTTTAAAGCAAGGCTGCCCTTCATGTTTTGTTTCATATACACACACACACACACACACACACACACACACACACACACACGCTGCCCTTCTACTTTCCACTGAGGCGCAGCAATATGAGGCCCTCACCAGATGAGGGCACCCAATCTTGGGTTTTCCAACCTCCAGATCCATGAGCCAGAATAAGTCTCTTTTCTTTATATTATATATTACCCAGTCTCCGATATTCTGTTATAGCAAAAGAAAATGGACTAAGGTACATTAAGACAGATGCCCATCAAGGCTGGGTTGGGGCCTCCTTTGGGCTTCTCGGTGCTTATGCTCCCCCTCATGGCTCTGGTTACTGGTATGCACTGGTATGTCTATCCTCTCAGGTAACAGCACCGAGAGCCAGGATGTGCTCGGGCCAGGGACACAGTGGTGCTCCATGTCTGCTAACATGAACACACTTGCTGCCAGCATCTAACAAGTGAGGGAGATGTCCCATGTATCCATTTGTGGTCAGCCACCTACGAGTCCTCACCACTACCCCATGTCTCAGGCCTACCTTTCCGGTATCCCAGAGCCACGGCGAGGTCCATAGGGGTGTAGCCAGAGTCTGCCTCAGTGGTGAGATCAGCACCCCGGGCTGCAAAGCAGAGCAGACACTGGGGTGGGGCTGGGCCTGGGGCTAGAAGCCCAGAATGGGACTTGGGGACTCAAGAGGGCCAGTGGAGATGCCTCATGGTACAGCCATGCGTTGGCCCATTGTTTGCATGACCTTGGACAAGGGTCTGGCCTCTTCAAGCTTCAGTCTCCTCCAAAGATTATGGCTCTGGAGGCCCTGAGACTGAGAGAGCAGGGGCTCGACTCAGCCAGACCCAGACCCCCATGCTCTCCTACCACCTCCTGCTCCAAATCCACCTCCAAGTAAAGCAGGTCGTGACAAGCCATTCAAGAGCTCAGGGTTCCCACAGGGCCAGATGGGGACCTGGGGCCTCCTGGGCTGGTCTCTACTCTTACTTACCCAACAAGGCCTCAACACACTTCACGTGGTTCCCACGCACAGCGTACAGCAGTGGTGTCCCTCCATTCTGTTGGAAGGTGAAGGCATGGAGAAACGAATGCTCTATCTTTTTCCACTCCTCACCATGCCTCAGAATCTCTGGCTTCCAATTCAATATGGTACCTCTTCCTGCTCATCACCTCACCCATCTTTCTCCTTCTCTGTTTCTCAACTTAGATGTCCCTTCCTCCATGAAGCCCTCCCTGACCCACCGTGGCCACCTTTGGGTTCCTGGGGCTGCCTGTGCGCCTGCCTTCACAGTACTATTCATTATCTCTCCATTGCCTGTTTATGTGTCTGTCTTCCCCAGACTGGGAGCTATACAAGATGTGAGACTGAGTCTTGTGTGTTCCTAGCACCCAGAACAGGCCCAGAACCTTCCAGATGCTCCATAAATATTAGAGGGCAGAAATGGAGGTCAAGCAGCCCTGAGGGGCCTGGGTGGGTGGCACCTCACCCAGTCATAGATGTTGATGTCCACGTCACGCTCCAGCAACAGCCCCACAATGTCCGTGTAGCCACCCATGCTGGCCAGCGACAGGGCGCTCTCCCGCTCCTTGGCAAGGATGTGGGGGTCGGCACCCTGGGGGGGAGCAGAGTGGGTAGTGATGGGAGACATGGGGACATTCCCTGGGATCCTAGAGTCCCCCAACAGAGCAGCCCCATCTCATGGACAAGGAACCAGAAGAAGAAGCTGAAACTTCAGCCAGCCCTCAGGTCCCCAGGAAGCCCCCAACTAGGCTGAGACGCACCCACTCGAGCAAGAAGCGGACGGTCTCGATCTCTCCAAAGGCAGAAGCCCAGATGAGGGGAGTGAAGCCACGCTCATCCGGCTTGTTGATGAGGTTGTCACCTGGCAGGTGGGAGTGGTATCACCAGATGGCACCCCTGCCCTCTCTCCCCAATGTCACCAGAGTAGGGATAAGACAGGGCCTGGGGTTGGACGTGGCAGGGAGTTAAACACATGTGGATGCACGCACAGGACATACTCACATGCACGTGTGGACACAGGCACACGTGCGGGCACTCATGGCCATCATCACTGTGAGTGGGCATGCAGAGCCCATGTGCACGCACCAGACAGGCCAGCACGTGTGTGTGGACACGCACCTTTCCTCAGGTGTTCCTTCAGTTGGCTCAGCTCCCCCTGGGCAGCAAGCTGGTGGATGGACAGGGCTGGGGGCCAGAAAGAGGCAGAGTCCTCTCTTAATCCGTGGCCTCTCAGCGCCTCAGCTTACCCATTCAAAATGGCTCCTCTCAGCTCCTCCCACCATCCTTAGGCCCTACTCACAGTCTAGGGTGGCTGGCAGGGCCGAGACCTCATTCCCTCGCTGCCGGTTAGTGAGGGTCGTAGAGTGCTTCAGGGAGCTGCCTGTCGGGAGAGAGGAAGGGTCTCAGGTTCCCCTTGGTACATGTCACTGGGGCTTCCAGACAGATCCTCGAGGCTCAGATCTACCAAAGTTTGTGCCTGAGACTCTACGGGTTCCTCACTCCACCCGCTTGGGCACCCAGGTTCATTTTTGTTCTCCAGGCCTGGTGATGTTCCCAGCTCACAAAACAAAGTCCCTGCATTCAATGAGCCCACAGGCAAATGCATCAAATGGAACAGAATAAAGCTGCAAGTTGAAATAAATTATCAGAAGAAATAAAAAGTCAATAAAAGGAGCTAGAAAGGAAGAGGCAGGAGGAGGGTCCATTTCAGACAAAATGGTTGAGGGTAGTGGCTCTGGGTTGATGCCAAGTCACATCCTGGCAAGTCCAAGAAACTAGCATTAGGCGAATGTTGGGGAAAGCATTCCCACACAAAGATCCTGGGATGAGAAAAATTAGATACTTTCAAGGACTTTACTCAAAAAGTAACCCTCAGTTTCTCAATAAGTTAAACAGGGTCACCATTTGACCCCAAATTCCTTGCTTACATATCCATGCCAAAGAGATGAAAACAGGTGTTCAAACAAAAACTGGTACACCAACATAACAGAAGGATTCACAGTAGTCAAAAGGGGAACAACCCAGGTGTCAACCAATGGATGATGGATAAACAAAAGGTGGCCCACAGGCGCAGTGGTGCACACCGGCAATCTCAGCAACTCAGGAGGCTTGAGGTCAGAGAATAGTAATGGAGTAGTATTCAGCCATGAACAGGAATCAAGGCCTGATCCTGTGATCCATGTTACAACACGATGAATCCTGAGTACATGATGAATGAAAGAAACCACACACAAAAGTCCATCTAGTGTACAATTTCATTGATAAAGACAATCATAACAGGCAAATCCATAGAGATAGAAAGCAGATAATTGATTGTTAGGGGCTGAGAGAGGGGAAATAAGGAGTGACTGGTCATGATAACAGGGTTTCCTATTGGGGTGATGAAAATATTCTGGAACTAGATAGAGATGATGGTTGCACAACATTGTGAATGTGCTAAATGTCATTGGATTGTACTGCAATTCTGATTCTAACAGTAAATTTCAGGTTATATATATTTTTGCCACAATAACAAAATGTAACAGCTGGGCACACACCTGCAATCTGGCTACTTGGGAGGCTAAGGCAGGAAGAGCAAAGTCTGAAGCCCGCCTGGGCAACTTGGTAAGACCCTGTCTCAAAATAAATAATAAAAAGGAATAGGCATGTAGCTCAGTGGTGGAGCACCCCTGGATTTAATTCCCAGTACCCAAACAAAAACAAAACCCCAGAAAACAAAGTTGTAAAAAACAAATAAACCACTCTTGGAAGGTGGAGGGAAGAGAGAAGATGTCCTAAGTAGTGGGTCACAAAGACAGAAGTTTCATCTGGGGCTCAACATCCCACCATCATCAAATCCCAGGGAGCCAATTCCAGAGGTGCTATCTTACCCTGTAGTGAACAGACACTGGCATCTGCTTCAGGCTCTGGGGTGCAGGGGAAGAGGCTAAGGACTACAGTGTCTGAGCCATCCGGGGTTTCAATACCATGGTCTTCAGGGTCTCCAAGTTCTGGGGTGGGAGACTGCTGGGTCAGAATGAGGTCCTCTGCAGGCTGGGTGGGATCCATAGGGAAAGCTGGTGGAACCGCTAGAAGGGAATAGATAATTAGCAGCAACTTAATTAAGTAGTCACTTATGGGGTGGCTAAACTGAGATTCAGAATAATGGCCAGTGTTTGGATTTTAAAATCAGAGTCCAGCTACTTTATAGGCCCACTCTTCCCCACCATCAAGACACCTGCAACATCCATGCTTTAATGCCTGGGCTCTGAAATCAGCTGTCAGGGTTCTAATCCACCACCACCACCCCCCCCTATTGACTGAAAACTAGGGCATGTGATTTAACCTTGCTGAGCCTCAGTTTCCTCCTCAATAAAAGGAAGGAATGAGGCATAAAAGAAATCATGCCCATAAATAGCACAGTAGAACGCCTGATGCAGCTAGAGCTCAATAAACATTCCCTCTGGTTGTTTGGTGGGGGTACCCCGAAATGAGTTAGGGCTCAACAAAAGATGCGATTGTTTCCAGTCCCACCGGCGCCTCTCAAACCGATCCGGAAGGTCCACTCACCTCCTACTCACCTCCTCTGTCCCCCAGCGCAGTAAGCACGGGTCCCCCAAAACTTGGGGACCCAATTCATAAACTTTTCTCCTTCAATGGATGTAGCGGGGAGCAGGTTGGAGTCCGGACCCTCAACGCTCGGGTTTTCTCTATCCGGACAGTGCGCAACTTGATACGCGACTGCTACCCCCACCTCAATACTCCCCCACTGCGCCTGCGCACCCCCGCCCCCCAAAAGTGCGAAAGAGCCGGAGCAGCAGGATAAGCTTCTAGCCCTTTAAGACTTTGGGGAGGGGCGTGGCTTCCGCCGGTGCCTAACCGGCGCAGTTGCGCCTGCGCGTTCTCTGCACAGCAGTTTGGCTGGGCGCGGAGGGCGGGGCCTCAGAGATCTCTGAAAAATTCCTTGCGCTTGTGCTTCCTCATTCCCAGCTCCGCCCACAGATTTTTCACAAGAAACCAATCGGCTCCAGTACGAGTCGACAGGCGGAGCTTTCTCAAGACGGAGGGGTGGGGGAGAAGAGGGCGGGGCGTCTGAAATTTAAAGGGACGACTTAGATCTGTTGTCCCCTTTCATAACACAATCCTTTCTGTATTACTAGGAACTTATGAACTTGTGCAGGGAGGGACTTAGTGGCAGTAGGGGGGGAAAAGGAGGGCATTTTTAGGTCCTAAGTGGGCGATGCGTGGTGTTTTTCTTCCAACTCGACTGCTGAGGGCAAAGGGGGTTTGGGAATTGAGAGTTCTTGCCTCTCCACCTGGTGTCTCAGGGGTATCTCTTCCCCCTCAACCGCCCTCAGGGCACCTCTTTCCCCTTAATCTCTCACTTTAAGCCCCTCTCCTGTCCCTGGAGGAGGAGGAGCAGGCAGGGCAAGTCGGAACTGGAGGCCTGCCGCGTCCAGTTTCCGCAGGGAAAGTTTAAGCAGAAGTCCCAGCCTCTGGACTTCCTGTTCCTGTTCTCTGGTTCTGCTAGCTGCCGTCGCTATGGAGGAACCAGAGATGCAGCTCAAGGGGAAGAAAGGTGGGGCAGGGCCCCGGACCGGATGGAGGGGTACAGAAACTCTTGGAGACTCGAATTGAGAAAGGGCCGACATGGCAGAGGCACGGAGGGAGTGTGGTGGTGGGCAGTGACTGAACTGTCATGGAATGCAAGCTCGCCCACTGACTAGTTTTGAAACCTTTAAAATCTCTGTGCTTCGTTTTGATATCTGTAGATGGGAGGGGGTATATTTCCTCGTAGGATTGTTGTGGCGTGTCAATAACCGGATATTGGTAATAAATTGGAAGAATGTTAGGGGCGTGGTAATCGCTGTGCGGTTAGTGTCCTTAAATCGTATAGTTGGAGTGCCACAAGCTACTTTTATTTTTATCTTATTTTTTATTGGCTGGGGGTACCAGGGATTGAACTCAGGGGCACTCAACCACTGAGCCACACCCCCAGCCCTATTTTGTATTTTATTTAGAGACAGGGTCTCACTGAGTTGCTTAGCATCTCCTCCTTATCCAGGCTGATTCTGACCTCGAGATCTTCCTGTCTCAGCCTCCCGAGCTGCTGGGATCACAGGCGTGTGCCACTGCGCCCGGCTTACATTTATTTTTGAAAAACATATTTAAAAAATGTTTGGTGCTAGGTATCGAATTTGAGGTTTCAAATATTAGGCAAGCACTCTACCGCCGAGCTACACCCTCAGTCCTCACAAGCTTTTAAAATTATAAACGTTATTTCACAAGGTACTTCTAATTATTTAGAAGATACAAGTACATTTAATTCTCTTTTCTCGTTAAAAATACGTTATGAATTACTACTATGCTACAATTTTCAATCCAGGAGGACAAAAGGGAAAAAGTTACCCTCTTTTTCCCTGGGGCCAAGCTGAAGAAAAAGTATGCATTGCCCACTTGGGATTGTATAAGCGACCTCCTTTTGTCCCCCCTGCTACCATCATGTCCTTGCACATGCTCATAAGAGTTTAGAACAACAGAAGGGACATTGTTATGGAAGGACCAGGCCAGTCACCCTTTAAATTCCTTTTCCCCCTCTTTTCCCTCCATTCAGGACACAGTGGTGAGCTAGACCAACCCACATAGATCAGAGTCCTGTGTGGCTTCCCTTGACTCTTAAGTTCTCACCATGACAGTCACATGGACAACAGCATTGGATCTACCTCTGTAGCAAAACGGATGATGGGCACTATTATTTAATTTTTACGGATGAGGAAACAGACTTAGGCCCCTGCCTCATGAATTCAATCTTTGTTTTTTCTTGTCAACATGTAAAGTAATAAATCACAATAGATATAAGAGAAATGAACAACAAGGTGAGGTCCTGAATGAGGGAGAGGGTACAGCTGATTGAAAGTTGATGTTAGGGGGCTGGGATTGTGGCTCAGCAGTAGAGCACTCACCTAGCATGGGCAGGACCTGGGTTCGATCCTCAGCACCACATAAAAATAAAGGCATTGTGTTGTGTCCATCTACACCTAAAAAAATAAAATATTAAAAAAAAAGAAAGTTGGTGTTAGGGAGAACCTTGCCCAGGGTATGACATTTGAGCTGAGACTTTGAGGGATAAATAGGAGCTAATAGGGAAAGGATGTCTCAAAGTAGGAAATAGGTGCAAAGGCCCGGTGGTGGCAACTTGTTCAGAGCTGGGCTGTGATATAGTAACTGTTGGTCTCATGTGAGTATTTAAATTTGAAGTGATTAGAATTAGGTAAAATTGAAAATTGAGTTCCTCAGCCACACTTGCAACATTTCAGGTGGTCAGTAGCCACATTAGCTAGTGGCCACCATTTTGGACAGTATTAATTACAGAATGTTTCCACTATCTTTTCAAACTTTTGAAAACTGTTGAAGGTACAGGGCAGGGAGGTTAACATCACCCAGAAGCAAAACACGTGGGGCCTTATGAGCCATGATAAGAGAAACAGATTTTATTCTCTGACTAGTAGGAGCCATGGGAAGGGTTTTAAGCAAGGAAAGACATGTGATATGTGCCTTTGGTGTTCACTTCATCTGCTACATGGAGATTGAACTTGGCAGGAGGAGAAGTAGGGGAGACCACTGAGGAAATGGGTCTAGCATCCGGGCAGGGAACTGTCATGCCTGGTCACTCACTGAGGTCTATGATGTGATTAGAGCACTTGCCTAGAATGCACCAGGCCCTGGGTTTTCCCCTGTGCTGCATAGAAAAAGAGTCAGGTGAGACATGGGCTTTGTTTTGTGGTAAAACTAGCAGATTCATGATGGGATAGGAAGAGTGCAAATTACTGGCTGTGTAGGAATGCCTTATGTTGAAGCAGACCTGGGAGAAGATGTGTGTGCCATTAATTACCAGGAGGAATGTGCAAGGAAGAAGGGGAAACAGGATGGGGTTAAGGGTGACCTCAGGTAAAGTCCACAGAGGGAGATCTCTGCCTGGTCCTTCAGGGGGGCTTATAAGGATATATATGCCTCCAAGTTGTCCCAGCACTCACTGAGGGACAGACACAGGCTTGCATATGCTGCACTGGTCAGTCATGACTAAGGGCCATACAGGGATGGAGGCTTCCAGACCCTTTGGGTCCTGCAGACATTATCAGGCTTCTCATTGGGTTAAGGGGAGTTTGAGGGGATCTGAGTGGGCAGATCAACTACAAGGTTGTTTGGAAGGGAAAAGACCAAATTCATAGTATGACAGTCCTGCTCTGTCTCCTGCCCATCCCTGTGGCTTCAGGTGACACAGCTGCTGGGGTAATACTAGGTGCTCCTCTCTATTCTAACTGGGCTCACAGTTGAGCAAACAGAAGCCTAATGTTTTGTCCTCTTGTCCCTTCCCCCTCCCTACTGACTGTTGACCCTGGACTCAGTCACGGACAAGTTCACTGAGAGCGTCTATGTCCTGGCCAACGAGCCATCTGTGGCCCTGTACCGGCTGCAGGAGCATGTGCGCCGCTCTTTGCCTGAGCTGGCCCAGCACAAGGTAAGCCCCCACCAGCCTCTCTCTGCAATGGGCCTCTTTTGGTGCCTGCGGTGTGGAACAGGGGCTGTTAGGGCAGGAATTAAGTTGGGGCACCAGCAAGGAGGTATGTGGTAGCTGAGTCAGGTCAAACCATTGGTGGATAGATCTGGGGCAGGTTTTCAAGGAGACGTCACAGTCTGCATTAGTTATAACCTGAATAATAACTGAAAACCCCAGGGAAGGGTGTGCCAGGTGAAGGGAACAGCCATTGCAAAGGTCCTGAGGTGTGGTGTCCAGTTGTTCCAGAACATCCATGGAGAAAAGGGAGTTTCAGGATGAAAAGTCTCTGGTCACTGGGGGTGTGGCTCAGTGGTAGAGTGCTGGCCTAGCATGCTTGAGGGCCTGGGCTCTACTCCCCACACCACTAAAAGAAAGTAGAGAAACAACTGGGAGGAGCCCTCTGGGAGGTAACCTCCCCTACTAACAGTTCCCCTCAACTCCCTCAGGCGGACATGCAGCGGTGGGAAGAGCAGAGCCAGGGAGCCATTTACACTGTAGAGTACGCCTGCAGGTGAGCCACAGTCCCCGTTACCTGGCCAGCCTGCACTACTCTGGCCTCTGGGCATTCAGGGGCATTCCCAGCCTGCTACCCCATGAGCTCTGCCCTGCCCAATTCACCCTAATGGAGATGTGGTTGCTGCATCATGACTCACCTGGCCACCTGGTGGATTCCAGCCAGACCTGTGCACACTGAACCCCTGTCTTTCACAGGTCAGAGTGATAAAAGGATTCTGGGAAGGGCCCCCAGCATTTTCCACTCCCAGCCAGGCTAGAGAGTGAATGACAGCTGGGGGTGGGCCAAAAACACAAATAAGGCTCTTTAGCTTTTTATTTAGCTTTCTCTAAATCTCCAGGTTACATTTGTAGTAAATGGAAAATTCCACAGATTCATTGCATGGACAAACCAAATTTTGCTACGAAGGCAAGAAATTAAAATTCCTGAGTCAATTTATTTATTTATTTATTTTAAAATATTTTTTTAGTTGTCAATGGACCTTTATTTTATTTATTTTTTATTTTGAGAGAGAGAGAGAGAGAATTTTTTAATATTTATTTTTTAGTTTTCGGCAGACACAACATCTTTGTTTGTATGTGGTGCTGAGGATGGAACCCGGGCCGCACGCATGCCAGGCGAGCGCGCTACCGCTTGAGCCACATCCCCAGCCCTATTTTTGTTTTATTTTTGTTGCTGGGAGTGGAACTCAGGGCTTGAGAATGCTAATGAACCGATACTTTATCACTGAGCCACATCCTCAGCTCCTAATTTTTTTTTTTCATTTTTTTTGGTGCTGGTGATAGAACCCAGGGCCTCCTACATGCTAGGCACGTGCCCTACCCACTGAGCTATACCCCTATCATGTCCCATATCTTTTGTTTCAAACAGATCAGCAGTATTAAATGGTTGGTATAAAATTGAAAGATGTTAAAAAATGGTCTAGAAATTCAGGAAAATGGTTCAGTGGTGAACTTGTATTAGCAAGATGTTTATCAAGATGGACAATCAAACACAAGAAAAGCTGACTTCATTTGGTGACATTAAGATGAGTGAATTAAGCTAGGCCCAGTGGCACATACTATAATTCCAGTGGTTCAGGAGTTTGAGCCCAACCTTGACAATTTAACAAGCAGGGCTGGGGCTGTAGCTTAGTGGTAGAACACTTCTGGGTTCAATCCCTAGCACCATTAAAAAAAAAAAAAAGAGTGAATTAAGGGTTGGAATTATAGTTTCATGGTAGAGCACTTGCCTACTATGTGAGAGAGCCTGGATTTCATTCTCAGCATCACTGTTTTAGTCAGCTTCTTAACCACTGTGCCTGAAAGTCCTGAAAAAACAAAGTTTATTTGGAGCTCATGGTATCAAGCCATAGAGGGCTGACTCCATTGCTCTGGGCTCTAGGTCAGGCAGATTATCATGGCAGGAAGGTGGGAGGAGGAAAGCAGCCCAGTACATGGCAACCAGAAAGGGGAGAGAGAACTCTCCTCACCAGGGACGAAATATAAACCCCAAAAGGCATGTCCCAGTGACCCACTGCCTCCAGCCACACCCTTCATGCTTATAGTTAATCCTGCCCAGTTAATCCTTTCAAGTGTATCACTGCACTGATTTGGTTAAGGTTCTCATAACCTGATCTTTTCTCTTCTGAACTTTCTTGCATTGTTTCATTCATGAGCTTTTGGGGGACACTTCACATCTAAAGCATAACAGCCATAAAACAAAACAAGAAAAGATGAGCCAGTTAAGATTCACCTTTTACCACCATCTTACAACTTTGGCCACAAGCCAGCCTATTTAGCATAAGCATAATCAGGGGTAACAACCAGCACCCCAATTTCATTTGCCATTTTCACGAATGTTCTTGACTGATAATAAATGGGAGTGATCTTTTTTATCTCAGTAGTGGTGCTAGGGATTGACCCCAGGGCCTTGTGCATGAAAGGATTCCAGCCAGACCTGTGCACACTGAGCCCTTCTCTTTCACAGGTCAAAGTGATCCCCGGCCCTCTTTTTTGTTTTGTTTTGTTTTTTAATAGGAGAAATTTAAAATGACTCTTTGGGGCTGGGAGTGTAGCTCAGTGGTAGAGTGCTTGCCTCACATTCACAAGGCCCTGGGTTCCATCCCCAACACCACAGAAATAAAAATAAAATGACACTTTTGTTTTTTTCTGCAGATGATGCCACTCAAGCAACTTTTTGGCACAGCAAGACACTGAACAACTTTGTAAATGTTTTTCTCTGGTGGCCTTTGGAAGGGTGTTCATTTATCAGTTGTGACACCAATGCCAGAACTTAATGAAGCTTTGTAGTCAGTATCCCTAATTGATGGTGGCTTATTGTGATTCAGTCTAAACTCACCTTTCTATCTTCTCCCTGCTGAGCTGATAAGTGTCCTTCAAAGGCAGGAGCATGTTTCTTAAAAAGAAAATGATGTCTTTTGTCATTGTTTTCTATGGTGCTAGGGATGCCTCAGGCATTCTAGGCATGAGCTCTATCTACCATTGAGCTGCAGCCCTCAGCCCTACTGGGATATTTTTGAGGCCATCTTTACATGTTTATACCACCTTTAAAACTTTAGTTTTATAGGTAAAATGAAAGTTGTGTCTTGCCATTATGTACTCTGTCACAGTGGTATTCATGTGTAGCACAGAAATCCAACATCTGAATCCTGCGGGAGGTCCAGGGAATCACCAAGGTACCCACTGAGCTCTGGATCCACCCAGGGCCTCCTCCGAGCACATGGCAGTGGCCTTCTCCAGTGTTGGGGCATGTGGGACACTGGCATGCATGCAGAGCTGATCAGACTTGTCTTCCCATTTCAGTGCCGTCAAGAACCTGGTTGACAGCAGTGTCTACTTCCGTAGCGTCGAAGGTCTGCTCAAACAGGCCATCAGCATCCGAGACCACATGAATGCCACTGCCCAGGGCCACAGGTAGCTCCTGGGACCACCTACCCAGTTGCCACCCTCAGCCTCATCTCTATAAGAACCATCTGCCAGCTCAGCCAGGAACTGCCACTTCTTGCTCTTTTATAAAACTCCCTTTCCTTATTTCACCATGTCTGGGACTTCTGCTTATACTTTGGCATCTGTAGCACCTACATCTTGAGCTTTGCTATGTGCCCAGTTCAGAGCTGGGTACTAAGGACACAGTGGTGACCAAGACAGGTGGACTCACAGCAACCAAGTATACATATAATGGATGACAGCATTCCTCAGTGCTTTGAAGGAAGCAAAGGGACATGGGGCTCAGGAGGAGGTGGACTGGGTAACACAAGCAGAGGTGACTGGGGGATGGTGGTGTGGGGAGTGGGGAGTGTGAAGACCTTGGAACTGGGCATGCTAGGGAAACATCGAAGAGGCAGGGGGCTGGAATAAGTGAGCAAGGTAGAGAGGTGGGCAGGGGCCTCCTCCTATCCAGGCTATAGTCAAGCAGAGGGAGCCTTTGAGCCGAGGCCCAGACAGTCTAAAATGAAAAGCACAGTCCTTGAATACTGGGGGGAGTTTTGGGAGCTGAAAGTAGCTCTTTTTGTTTTTGATGTTCATTATAACTTAATAAACACACATTTGAACACATGTGCCTGGGCCATAAGCTGGACTTCGACCTTGGGATGCATTTGGCTTCTGCAGGTTGGAGATTGATATACTTATGCCCCCACACATACCAGGCATTTAGAAAGAAAAAAAAATCTGCTGTTTCTCATAACTAAGACATGAGAATTGTTGAGAACAAAAAGCCTTGTGCCCGTATGTCGTGGGTGTGTCCCCTTCCTCCCTTCAAGGGTGGAGGAGAGGGACGGAGCTGGCTCTTCAGCAAAGATGAGGCTGGGTTGGTGTTGGCAATTGGAACTAGAGTTCACTCAAAAGCCAAAACCAGCTGCTGGATTTCAAATGCTTTCCGGTACCCCACTTGTGCTGCTTTACGAAAGTGCTTGTGCTTCTGAAAGACGTGGTAAGGTGCTGTTCACACCTCTCTCTGCAAGTGCTGAGTGTGACGCACCCAGTCCCCCATGGGTGAGTCCAGCCTTTGCTTCTGAAGTGGGCAATGGTCCCATGTATGCCCTGAGGGCCCAGGCCAGGAGTCTTGAGGGACCAGAGTGTGATGTAAACTCAAACCCCAGCCTAGCTAAGCAGCCTCATGGCCTCTGACTTGGGCCTCACATGTTTCATTTCAGCCCCGAGGAACTGCCCCCGCCCTCCTCAGCCTGATCCTGGAAGAATCCTGAAGGTCCCTGTCTTCCCCCAACCCAGGTCAGTGCCAAGGGTGGCTTTGAGCTTTTCTGCTCTAAACTAACCTGCCCACTTGGCATCTGAGCAGGGACCTGCTTGTCTAACCCCCTGGGCCTTCTCACTGGGCTTGCTGGGTGGCTTCAGGGAGTGGGGAGGAGACATTTGCAGACCCAGAGTGTCTGCAGGGTCTCTGCTATTCAGGGACCTTCTTAGTTCATCTTCCTCTCTCTGCCATCTTCCTGCCTCTTATCCAGGCCTTGTCCCGACCTTAGAGGTCCCCCCACTCTAAAGCTCAGAAGGGACCCCACATTTCCTCTCTCCTGACAGGGCCTGGTGATTGCTTTACATACCCATTTTCAGGCTGAGCCTTATTGGGCCGATATCTACAGCTCTGAATCCTTCCTGCACCACCTGCCTGCTGTTCCCTCCTTCCCTGGTCTTTATTTATTTATTTTTTTTCAAGAAAGAAAGAGAGAATTTTGAGTATTTATTTTTCAGTTTTTGGCAGACACAACATCTTTGTTTGTATGTGGTGCTGAGGACCAAACCCAGCGCCCCACGCATGCCCGGCGAGCGCGCTACCGCCTGAGCCACCGCCCCAGCCCCCCTGGTCTTGTATTTTTTTCCTTCTATAAAGGTTACCTATTAGGTGACTACAAGGGCACAGGCTACAACAGGTGAGTGTTGTAGCACTTAGCTATTATACATGACAAACAATCCCCAAACTTAATACTCTGTAAAACTTGTAGTAGAAACATAGTTACAGAAACATGCTATTCTGTTATTTGGCTGAGCAGTTCTGCTGGCCACTTCCTGGGGACACTCATTAGAGTTTAACTGCAGCCAGATAGTCAGGTGGCCTCACTTGACTGGAGTGTTGGCTGTGGGGTCCAGGCTCCCTGTGGCCTCTCCAGCAGGCCATCTGGGCTCCTGGTGACCAAGTGCTAGGCAGGCAGCACTCATCCCACCCCCCTGTGCTTCACAGTTGTGGTATCCCACTGCTCAGTGATGTGAGCAGGCCCAGGGTCTTGTAGGGAGGGCTGCACAGGTGATGGTGGATCCTGGAAGATGAAGCGACCTTGCATGGAGAGTATCCCTGAGGAAGACCGATGTGTTCTGTGCCCACGGAGGGCAGACATGGCAGATTCAAGGCATCCAGAGGACCTGTTGGCCAGGTGCTGGGATTATCCTCTGTGTCATGAGGCCCTCTTAAAGGCTAAGGGAAAGCAAGTTGAGACAGGCCCCACACCCTCAGCTGCAGCACCCAGAGCCAAGAGACCATGGAGGTCACCTGTGTCCAGAGAGTACTCCCTGGGCACCACACTCCGCACTTATTGGGCACTTCAGTCAGCCAGTGAGTCCTTACTAAGTGCTTGCTCATAGGCTTGGCTGTTGGCCAGGGAACAATGAGGAATCATGGATTGGGGGTTGCCTAGGGGCCATCTGGGAAGGCCTGAAGCAGGAAAGGCTGCCTGAAGGGTTAGCAGCTGCCCCAGTGCGCCCCACAGCATTACGTGCCAGCTCTAGGCCACACCCATCCTCTACCTCCCACCTCCAACCCTCCACTCCCATCATCCCCATCACATCCCCACCCACGGGTTCCTCCCTCTCCCTTGATAAAGGACACTGTACTGTTGCCCTTCCTTTTCCTGTATCATCTCCTGTTTCCTTTGCTACTGAAATCCCACTGTGTGCAAAGCTTCTGATCTCACCTTTGTCCCTTCAGACCTCTTTTTCCTTCTCCACCCGCTCCCTTCTCTCAGAGCCTTCCACCTCCACTTTTCCCCAAAGCTGCTCCTGCCAGGATCTTCAAAGACCTTCACAGATCAATCATCCCCTGCTTCTCCTCTCCCATGACCCTCAATATCATCTCATTTTACAGAAGAGAAAACCGAGGCTCAGAGAAGCAAGACAGCCCAGGGTCGAGGCCCATGCCCGGAAGCACCAAGATTCACACCCAGACCCTCTGACCCCTCCACATGGTCCTCGGCCCAGGCGCCTCATGGGACAACTCTATACCTCTCAGACTCCTTCCTCACTGCCTAACCTGACCAGAGCTGGGCCCCTGGGTACCACCTTGTGCAACCCAGAGGGATTAAAGACCAAGCCAGTGGGGACAACACAGACCTGTTCCTGCTGAAACCTCCAGGCCCAGCTAAAATCATCCCAAGACATGCCTTTTCTTCCTACACTCTTATCTGCTCTTGGATCAATAATTGCCCCCATGATAATCCTGATTATGTGTCCACTGTGTGTGGTATGCTCCTCATGAGTTCTCTCCTTTCATTCTCAGACAACCTCTTGAGGCAGGTAGCACCCCAAAATACAGATGGGAAATGACAGGCTCCAAGAGATGGTGTGACTTGTGTCAGGTCATGCAGTTTGAGAGCAGACCTGGGCTCTTAAGCCTCCTAGTTTGGTCTTAGCCCTGCCTCTGACATGCTGTGTGATGTGGGGCCTGGTGCTGGCCCTCTCTAGTTCTCCCTTTCTCCATCTGGACAAGGAAAGCTGTACTGAGCATGTTCTATAGGCTGAGAGAGGGAAGAAGAGGAGAATGGAAAGCAGGAAATAAATGTGACCTAATTGGAGGGCTTCTTGGAATTTTACTGGGAGCTTAGGAAGGACCTGTGCTTATTCTACCGGGATAGGTAGGGAGGGACATCTAAGAATATTTCATGGGGCCCTGGATCCAGCTGTACCTGAAGTACCTGAAGTTAACACATTTCAATTCTTCAATTACCCTTTTGCCAAAATTACTTCAACGTATTCCTGCAGCTAAGTCCAGAAGAGCCAGTGCTGAGTCCTGTGAATTCCAGTGTCACATGTCCTCAGTATGTACACCTCCAAGGCCAATTGTGTGCAAATGTTAGCCCCTAAATTATTTGTTCCAATAAAATGTATCAGGAAGATCAGAATAAATTGTTGGGGTAGCCAGGCTGCATCTCAAGCACACTCCCCAGCTTGGCAGTGGGGGGGGGGTGTGTGAGGAGGCCCAGAGGCTCCTAAGGAGAGAATGGGTCCTACTGGGACACTGGGCCTTATGAAGGGGATCTGGAATACAGGAGTATGGAGAAATGAGTCTCCCACCGCCAAGAAGCAGGACTCAGCCCTCCCTCTGCCCTCCTAGTGTGTACCCGGAGGCTTCTGTGCTGCCATTGTAAATGACTCTATGGGGGAGAGAGGAGTCTCAGGTCCACCAAATTTGGGGCCCTGCCTGCTGTGGGGTCTGTACAGTCAGAGTCATTTGCTTGGCCTGAAGGTATCTCACGTCGTCCAACTGTCTTTTCATCTGCCCTCCACACACCCATTTATCCAGCAAACATTATCCCCACTCCATGAGCCCGGGGATGCTCCAGAGCTAGGCAGGCCAACACGGACAGCAAGATCACAAGCCATGGGACAGGAGACAGCTGAGATAACTGCACATATCCCAGACTGGGGGAGCAGTCGTGGAGTGTTCTAGACTCTCCTAGGGCGCCATGTCACTTACAGCCCCCGGCTTCAGCCAGCAGCTAAGAGTTTGCTCCTTTCAAGGGGGTTCTGAGAGCCCGTGGGAATCCTGTTTAATATGCGTCTCAATCACACTTCGGCCTCTCCTCTGGGGGCGCCCCCGTTCGCCGCCAGGGGGCGCAAAAGATAAGACCTTGGCCTCTAAACACGTTATCTGCAGCCCTGGCTGGTCTTGGGGACACTGTGACCATTCTCCCTTTTTCATCTTCTATACTCTGGCTCCTGTTTCTCAAGAGAGTAAACTGAGTTTCCAAGGAACTGGATTACCCAGCAGGGCCTCATCTGGTCCTGCACCATCAAGAACAAGAAGAGCCTCTTGTCCCAGGCCCTGCTCAGTAGAACTTGCCCCCAAATGGCTCAGAAATGGATGAGCAGCTGGAAGAGAGGGAAGGAGCCCCCGTGCCATGGGGCATTCAAGCAGAAACCTAGTGGTTACCAGGTTAAAAAGGACCTAGAAGGGATTCCAGGAAGTTAAGTGTGGCGCCCTGCCAAGCTCCTTCAGATATGTAGATGGGCTGAAAGGAGACCCAAAGAAGGCAGCACCTGTCCCTAGCTGCTGTGGTCAGGAAGAGAATCAGACCTCTCTTCAGCTGTCTTTTTGGCCTTAGCACCTGGTCCAAGTCCTGGTTTTTACTTCAGACCTGCTCTGCCATAGACCCCTGGGAAGCCCCTTCCTAGCCCTGTTGTCTGCCCCAACATGGCCCCAAGCTTGCTTCCCATCCTCACCCCCACCCCTCAGACCTTCTCTGGGGCTCTGCAGTACTTCAGGAGAACCGTGAAGACCTACCTTCGGGGCCGCCATGCATCTGCTTGGCCCTGAGGAGCCGGCACACTGAGGGAGACAGAGTTGAATGTGTAGCTCCACCCTGTGCCCTGCCCCTGCCCCTGCCCCCTGCCCCTGTCCAGTACTAGGACTCTCTTCCCTGTCCCTGCCCCCTCCTCCCCCACCTTGCCCCTGGACTAGGTGAGAGGGTGGGGGTGGAGAACCCCCGACTGAGGAAGCACAGGGATGGCTTTTGGAGGAGGGGAGTTTGTAGGTAGACCTTGAAATGTTTGGCTCCTTCAGGAGGAAGGGTGGCTATGGTCTACACTTTTTACATGAGCAAAAAAGCTCATAGGGGTGAAGTGACTGATCTGAAGTCACACAGCAGGTACACAGCAAAGCTGGAACAGGGAGGCAGGGTTCTCTAACCCCAGCGCCTTCCCACAATGTCCTTGTCATGGAAAGTCCTTCAAAGTCTTCCTGTGCTGACATTCTGGAAGAGGATCTGGGAAAGGGGACATGGCTCTCCATTTCCCCCAGCCTCCTCCTTCACCCAGGCGGCCCCCCTCATCTCCCAGGATCCCCTCCCTGGACCTCCGCGCTGGCCCTTCTCTCCCTTCTCCTCCAACTTCATACTCAGACAATTCAGGGTGTCCGTCATCTAAGAAGGCTGAAGTGGAGACTCAGTGCCTTGCTTGTGGACAGAGTAGTGATGACAGAAGGGACTGGGCAGGAATAAGGGCAAAGGCAGTAAGGAGGGACCATTGTGTGAGAAAGATCGTGAATGATGGGATAAAAAACTGACCAGAATAGGAAGGGGGCGTGGGAGCCTGAATAGTGGGAGGGGGCAAGGTGGGGGAGGAGGGGGCAGGGACAGGGAAGGGAGTCCTCGTACTGGGCAGTGGCAGGGGGCAGGGGCAGGGCGCAGGGGAGCAGCTCCAACCAGCTGGCCTCAGCTCCACCACCAGCCCTTTCTACCACGCCCCGGCTGCTCCCAGAGCTGCTCCAGCTGCCACCCTCACGTAACCAGAGCCTGCCTGTTGCATCAGAGGCAGGCGGGCAGCCACGGGTAAACAGAGCATTCCTTGGGGGGCCTGGGGCTCCCCAGCCACCTCCATGCTCCCCAAGCCTTATTCTGTACCTTGAAGCTGAGGCTGAAGCCCCCAGCCCGACCTGAGCCCTGGTGTATAGTCGGGACACCTGAGGGTGTACTGGGTGGGAGCAAGGGACCCACTTATGGCACAGCATGAATCCTAGTTTTTATGTCCAAAGAGAAGTTTATGACCAGACTAGAAGTCCAAACTTCCCATGTCACAGACAGGTAAACTGAGATGCGAGGAGAGGCACGAGCCTCCCAAGTCCTTCTGTTCCCTGCCTCAGTGTTCCCCACACCCGGGCATCTTCCATATGCTTCTCCCTCAGTCCACGTGTTCAGCCACATCTCATTGTCTCCTGAGAAGGTGGACACTAGGAAGCCATTGGAATCTACTCTCCCCTGGTATCTACCCCCAAGTGGATCCCCTCCTCTTCACTTCCAAGCCCCTGCCTGGGTTCCATCCCCATCTGTTCCTACTGCTTCATCTCTCTCCTCTCACCTTGACCCTTGACCCTGTCATAGAATGTTCTGTGCTCTTCCTCTGCACCTTTGCAAGTGCTGATTTCTCTTGAAAACTCCTTTGCCCAGTGGCATGCTCCTACTCATACCTGAAAGCCCAGTATAAATACCCCATCTTCTGGAAAGCCATCCTTGACCCCTCTGGCACAGTCCTTGCCCCTAACTCTCATCTGTCCCAGTGTCCCAACTCTTCCTATGGGAAAAGTTGACCCCACAGGGACGGGGAAATAGGCACTCTGTCTTCCTCAGACTGGGGACTTCCCCAGAATTCTCCTGTCTAGAACTATCTTCATCCCTGACCCTGGACTCTGTAATTCTTTCCACTTCAATTCACTCACCAACCCCCTCCATTCTCTAGGTCTGGCCCTGTGGTCCTGGGCCCCCAGGGGAAGATTGAGAGGTCTGGGCTAGGGTCCAGTTTTACAAGACCCACCAGAGCTGACTTTTGAAGTGGAAACAGCAGGCAGAGGGGAGTGGGAAGGACAGGAACATGGATGGTGGAAGAAATAGGATATTCTTGGGACTGTGGGAAGAAAGGAGACGTGGGATCATGGGATCAGCAGCAGAGGGTCTGTCACCGTCCTGTAGAGGCACCCAGACTCACAAGTCTGGAGGCAGGAGGCCCAACTGGGTTAGGCCACATAGGTGACTCCACAGCCCCTTGATGCAGTTCCTGCATCTGTATGAGAGGGAGTCAGCTGGGTCCCTGGGAACAACAGGATCCGGGATCCAAGTTATATTTCATCCCTGATGGAACGAGTCCAAGCTTGTCTGAGTTAGGGAAAGGGTCCAAATCAAGGTTAGGTTAGGATCAGGGGTCTACAATAAGGTCAGAGGCACCCAGCAAGGGCCAGGGAGGCCTGGCAGGTCTCCCTAGTCCTCTGCACTCGCGTGTGTGTGTGTGTGTGTGTGTGTGTGTGTGTGTGTGTTGCTGGGGTGGAACCCAGGGCCATACGCAGGCTAAGCAACAGTCTGTCACTGAACTACACTTCCAGTCCTCTTTCCCCTCTTAATTTGCCAGCGAACTTGGAGCCTTCCGATTCCCCGTCTTAGAACTCTCGGGGCGGGGCCACGCCCAAATGTCCGCCCACCGCAGCACCACGGTGACGCCCTCTATGCAAATGATTTTTCCCCGCCCAATCATCTCCCAGGGGCGGGGCCGCCCGCTGGGAAGACACCTGTGGCCGCCGGCGCCTGGATCTGTGTGTGGCAGCAGCGGGTCTGGGAGCCGATTCCTGGGACAGAGCAGGTGGGTGTCGCGTCGCGTCTGATCGGGTCAAGACTTGCGCGCAGTCCTTTGAATGGCTTCTGAGCTCTGGGCTGGGTTTGGAGGTCGGGTGTGCTGCTGAGCCTCCGAAGGTTTGCATATGTGTGTGTATGTTCAAGGAGTTCACTCAGAGAGGGTATGAGCACAGGTCTGAAGGTTGTTTCTGAGTTGTGTGCCTGAGAGGTTGTGTTTCTGAGAGTTTGTGTGTCCAAGGGGCATGTGTCAGGTTTTGATGTGAGTTGGGGAGATTTGAACTGTGGGCAAACTGTGACGGCCTGAGTCCCTGTTATATGTCCATGAGTCTATATCTGAGATGCACTGTGCCCCTCTCTGGGTGTACACATTTGGTATCAGCAAGACCCCTTTGCACAACTGCACACTGTTGTACTCTCCTGTGTCACAGTGAGAACATGGGCACAGAGCCCTAGAACGT